ACTAATATTAAGGGTAGGCTATTTCTCTATGCAAGTCGACCAAATATTTTAATTGAAGTATTAGTTTTCATATTGGATATTTTTGCATTTATTAATAATTAAAATACTTTATTCAAATGCAAAAAATAAAATTTAATAAATTTGAATTACTTTATCTAGCTACAACATTTTAAAAATTAAATCATTTAAAATAAAAGTAATTTAAATTCAGAATGTTTTAATTTTCTTGAAATTGTAAAAGTTTATATCCAAAGATTATTTTAGTTAATTTGTGAAGTACATAAGCACATGACATGGTATGGTACCTTGTCCCTGAATCTTAGTAAGAAAAAAAATTAATTATTACCTTGTTTTCAATTTATTTTGGGTTAAAAACATATTTAACCCATTTATTTTTAAGAATATTTTGATCATTAACAAAAATAAATATTATATTTATAAAAAATAAAATATAAAATAATAAATATAAAACGTGTCCACAAATTTATTGATATGAAAATAATAGTAAAAAAATTCAGAAACACGTAAAAAAAAATCAGTGAAGGGATTTTGAGCCATTATGCACCTTTCCTCTCCGTTTTTTTACTCTTATTTAAAAAAAAAAGAAAAAAAAAAAAACCTAAATCCTAAAAACCCTTAAAATCTAAGAATCCTTCTTCCTTCTCTCGCGACAGTCTCTCATCCTTTCACTTCCATCTCTGCGATCCCCGCTGTCGGAGAAAAATCCGTCCGTGAATCCATTTTTGGAGCGAGCATTGTGCACGCCTACCCTTGCCTGCATCTGGTGAGTTCATTTTTTCACTCTTTCTTTTCCGATTTGGGGGTGGGATGTGTAGTGAAAGCATATTCTTATTCCCTGTTTTTTAGCCAGAGGGCTTGAGGGTTATTGCAAAAGTGTCACGTGTGTTTGTAACCTCACCGGAAATAGCTCGGAGCAAGTCCAGATAAGGTGCCGCTGTGATCGGAAATTTCTGCACACGGCTCCACAATCTGCGAAATGTGGAAGATGTGAGAAATGTGTTTAAAATGATTTTTTATATTTTAAAAACTAAAAGTTTTAAACATATGTATTTTAATACTTCTTTTATTTTTAACATTGAAATCTGAAATCATGCTGGACTACAACATTAGTCAATCTAACTTGTTCAACAAACCATTTAGGGGTGGTCATTCTATCACAACTTAAGTGCATATTGTTTCGTTAAAATTTAGTGCATGTAAGTTGATGGTCCGATTTATCCTTTGTTCATTTCAATGGATTTGGTGGAGACTCGTTGAGTGGATTTAAGAAGATTTGAAGATAAAAATTTTATTATTTATTTGAGTGAATTTGGAGACAATTGAGAGTGAATTTGGAAGCCATGTTTGTCAGAACTAGTATAAGATAAATCTTCTTGAATCCACTCAATCACTCTCTCCCAAATTCAAATTCATGAGAACAAAGCCTCAATGATTTATTAAATATGTATTCTTTCTGATTTGTTCCTGCCTGTTTCAAATTTAGTTATATACTTCCAAAGATATTCCATGTTCTGTTCCTATTTTCTCTGTACTCTTGCAACATTCAATTAAGTGATTTTGGTTGCTAGTGAGTTGATTTTTTGATTGCTGCTGAGAGTTTTTGGGGAGGATTTGTTGAAGTAATGAGCACTTATTCATTACATCTTTCTGTTTTTTTATGGTAATTCCACTGCTATATTCTTCAGCCATTGGGTTTGAAGAGCCAAGAAACAGGGTTGCAATTTTCATCCCAATTTAGTGCTGAAAGAGGTAGGTTCTTCAAGTTTGTTTTCTTCTCAGAACAGTATGTATGAAAATATGACTCACATCTTTTTCTGACCACATGATTTTCCTTATACTTTTCATTTTGAACTCTGAAAACTTGTTCTAACATGTGCTTTTAGAATTTTTAAGTTCATATTCTTCTCGTTGCTATTATGGTATATTCGTTGATTATATAGATTGCTTTTTCGAATTCATTAATGATTATTTTGTGAACATAAAATGTGTGTTTATGGACTTATGGTGATTAATGTATACCGATATTTGATTATGTTTGTATGGTAAATTGGTAATCATTATGGCCTTCCAACTGTGTACTAGGTAGAATTGTATTTTTGTGTGCAGGGTAATTTATACTTGACTTCATGTCTATATTGTGCCATATGCTATCTCGAAGACTGAATTCTTAAAATTTTAAATATCTTTGTTTAACAATAAGTGTTAAAGTGTTTTTTTTTTCAGTGGACTGACCCTAATACACAAAGTGTATTTGGGCTTTTTATATTTATGGGTTTTATGAGCATGATCTGTTTAATTTGTCTGATCCAACATTAATATTAATATGAACATATGTATTTATCTCTACGTAAATGCTCTTTACCTTGAGCTGAATCAATATGACTGCAGGGCGTTGTCTCTCTATAAGAAAGCAGTATGCCGCACAGAACCCGACCCATGACTGCACTCTTGGTGTTCACTGCTCTAAATACAGTTTTATGTGCAACCATTACTCCAGTGTATGATTTTGTTTGCTTTCTTCCGTACTGGGAAAGAAGGGTGAGATTTTTGTTCATTTCTTTTTCTTTTTTGTTTCTTTGTTCCATTCCATCATCTGGTTCCTTATGTAACCGAAAAAAATTACATGGTTCCTTATGTCAATGAAATTATGTGAGATTACCCTAGTTAAGTTGGAGCACTGTTGTTATTGCCCTGATATTCTGTAGATTAGATCTCAATTTCATTAACTCTTGAGCTTGGTTATCGACTATGATGACTCTTTTATGTTAAACTTTTAGCAAAAGAAACCACTAACAATGATCTCATAATACCCCCTTATGGTGCAATGTGAGGAAATTATCAGCGTGATTGGGTATGTTTGGCGTTTGTAATCATGTACAAAAATTTGTTCTTAATGGCTTCTGATCTTGAAAGTGGTCTTTAATGTGAACAGTAAGGTTTTTGCCTTGTGACCTAACCCAACATCACAGATTTAAACCCTCCCCAATTCCTCTTTTCAGTGGCTTTTGATCCTGAATTATCGTTAATGACATGTTGGATGTTTGTTCATGACCTATTTTACTAGTAGCTGAACATGAGTAGATCAACTAAGATTTCTCTTTTCAATTGCCGGCTGTTTTGAAAATGTATCTGTTTCGGAATCATCTTAGATCATATGAAATCTTAAATATTGCCATCTAGTGTATGTAGTGAATATTGATAGCCATTGCTATGCTTAGTACGTTCAAAAAACAGTGTAGATGAACTGGCAGAGAAGATAGCTCTGTCACTGTAATGATTTATGGATGTATTGGTAATTTTGGTTGGGGCTGAGTTTGAAATAGTATTTGTTAATTGTCTATGTGGTTAATTCTTTACACAATCTAATGTTACAGAGGGAAAGACGTCGCCAGCAACGTGAAGCTACTATAGCTAACAGTACAAATTAGCCATGACAGGATTTAATTGGAGAACCTTTCTGTAGTATGATTTTTATTGTTCTTTCTTTCTTTCCCTTCTTGATGTAAATAACCATAGAACATCTTGAAATGAAAATATGAACAATTGGATCCACTTGGCCGCAATCGTCGGACATTTATATAACCTTACTGTAACATTGCTTTATTAAGGTTTGAAACCAAATATTCAATCGAGTCAAATTTTGTTTTTAATTTTATTTCATGTGTGTCCTTTGATCTACATGAAGTTAGTGCTGGCTTTTATGCAAAATTCAAGTTGGTAAACTTGAGTTTTGTTTTATCTATGAATGCAATTGCACCTAAAGAAATTAATAACTCCATTCTGTTCTAGTAGATTATTTGTTTAGGAATCCACCTAAAACTAGTACAGTGAAATTCTTAGTAATATAAGCTATTGTGTTGCATGGCTTATTTGCCCTTTTACATGCAAGTGAAAAATGCCTCACTTTAGTAATATGTCAACTTAAATTATCCACTTCCAGTAATATGTCAACTTAAAAGGTTTAAAATTGAGAGAACGAGAATGGAAAGAAAGGTTATTTACATTGAGAAAAAATAGTAGAAAATAGAGAAAAATGAGAGAAAATTTTGGTGCAGATTGGGTTGATTTGATTTGATAAAAAAATAATTGGTATTTAATAAGAATAAATATTAATTTTAATTAAGATATGATTTAACATGAAGTAACTATTTAATAAAATTATAAATAATAATTAAAATATATATAACAATGATTTTTATATTAATTAAATAATTAATTATTGTAAATGTTATAAAGAAGGGACAAACTAATAAAATAAATTTTAATATATTAATTTTTTAAAATAAGAAATTATTCTCTTTTCTTATCATTATTTTTTTCTATTTTTTATTAAAAATTAATTTAACAAAGATAATAATTGGGAAGAGAAAAGTTAATAGAATATTTTTTACCATTAAAACTTGTAAGAAACAAAACTTTTTATTATTTCATGAAAAAAATACGTAATGGTCATTATTTCTTATATATTTATATTTTAAAGTGGGTTTATTTTCTATTTTCAGAAATTTAAAAGCATATATTTAAGAAATAAATATTATTAACATTGTACTCTAAAATAATAAACTTTATATTATTAACATTGATGAATAATAATAAAATAAAATGATAATTTATGAACGATAATTTTATTATTAATAAATCTTTTCAGTAAATAATATAATATTTATTATCTCAATCCTGATTTCATTTCATTTTTAGTACAATTATTACAATACAGATATAACCTGGTTTTTCATGAAATTCTTCTCATTTCAAAGATAAAATTGTTGTGAATTTCACTTCAGCTTTCCTTATCATTTTATGATCACTACATGATAACCAGAGTTGAACCTATTGAAAAATTACAATTCCATAAACTAGAGAAACTCTTGTCAATATGTCCAAAATGAACAAAAACAACCAGTGGGGTCAGAAATGAAGAGCACGGATACATTTATATTTGCCTATCATTTTCTTTAGTTCTTTATTTTGTTTATATTCTGTAAATTATTTATGATAGAATATCGTTTTCCACTACAAAAACAAAAAAAATGTTCTATTATGTAACACACATCACATATTCCACAACTACAATATGTTTTTAAAAAATTCTAAAATAAACATAACTGAATTAATATTAATAAAAATAACACATTCATTTGTGTTTTATATATTTTTTATTAACTAACACATGACAGTGTGCTTAAATATCACTAATTTATCACACTAAATTAATTATATTTATGTTTACATTACTTTATAATAATAATTTTTAGTCTATTGTTAATAATAAAATTACTTATAACATTGAAACATATTAAAATTATTATGAAGAAGTTATTTCTTATTTTAACTAGATGCATGTCATGAATAATTATACACATTTTTTGAAAAAACAAACAATATTAGCATTGGGTTATAACCTATCCCGTGCACGGGAAAAAAAACTAATTGAGAAGAGAAGAGAGGGAACGAGGGGCTACATAAACACTAGAAAACAAGTTAAAATGTTTCATAAATTTCGAGAATCATATAAAGTGTGAGATTAAAATTTTTAAAACCAAATACTAATATGTCTATAATTTTAATTAAAGATGTCTGAAAACACATTATCTTGGAATTCATTATTATCTTTTTGTATATTAAACATATTAGACATCCTATACCATATTGATTTGTGGGAAAACTGTAACATCCCAGATTATATATAAATATATAATATAGTAGTCTACATTTTTAATATAAGAGAACAGTTAGAATAAGACTGTAAATAAAGTCTTAAGGTTACAGTCATCCCAAAATGGCTATAATTTAAAACTTTAAACACCCATAAGAGTATTTCAAAATACAATAACGTCTATGAACCCTAACTAAGCTAAGCAGCGGCATCATCACCATCCAGGGCCTGTTCCAGGGATTCCTCATCCACCTCTGCTCACATCCAAGTGGATGGTCATTGCAACATACAAACACAAGCAGAAGGGTGAGCTAGATATACAAAAATCATGTTATAACAATCACACACAACATGTAAGTTTAATTCAAAGTTAATGAACCATACAACACCACTTGTTACACTTTACACTTGACTCGTCCGGACTTGAATGATTGCCGAGCTATGGCGGGTCATGCACTCGTGGTGGCCTCTACTGCTTTGCAAAGTCATTGCCAATGGGTTTCACCCTACCACACTCAGCAGGTTAATCCTTTATCACTCACCTTGGGCCATACTGGAAGCACCCAAGACTAGGACCTTCTGCTACTACTCACGACATGGTTCAATCCTCTCTACTTGAGAATGATTGACCATTGTAGTTTCAAGATAACCCCCAAGACTGAGCTTCCATGCAAATCATTCTAAAACACACCAAGGGCAGCACCATGGATCTTCTCCTTGAAGATCATGGAATTACGTCCAATAACATAGGGCACCACCATGTAACCTCCCTTTGAGATCCATGGAATTACGTCCATCAACCATACTGTCACTTTGAAACTTAACTCAAGACATGAACAACCAAGTACCATAATATTATCACATTGAATCCAAACATATAACCTCACTGATCATACACTATCATATATACTTCTACATCATTCTAAAAATCAAAACATAGTTCAAGGTTATCAAAAAACAGGAATAAAAAGAATAAAAACAGGTTCTGGGCAAGTCGCTCAGCGCACCAAACTCGCTGTGTTAATAACAAAAACAGTGGGTTTTACTCACTCACATTCGCTCAGCGCACCAAGCCTGTGCGCTATGCTAACTCCATTCGCATAGCGCACAAAGCCTGTGCGCTATGCTAAACTCCATTCGCATAGCTCACCAAGTCTGTGCGCTATGCTAAACTGAAAATTCTGCTACACATTATCATACCCTAAACCCTCGCATAGCGCCCCAAATTCGCTATTCGAATTAAACTAGTATTTTCCCAGGCAACCACTAGTCGCACAGCGCCTAGATTTGCTATGCGAATCACCAAACAGAGAGCAACACCCTCTAGTCATTCGCATAGTGCACCAACTCGCACAGCGAATGACTCAAACAGAGAGTACCCTCTCCAGGGACTCGCTATGCGAGACAATTCGCATAGCGACTCTGCATCATCTGTAGAACGCAAATTCTACAGAATTATGCACTCACACACCTCCTTACCATTTCTAGGTCTTTTCTCCAATTTCTAACACCCCTAATTCATGTTTTACACCTAATTAAACTTGTCTAGATGTTCCTAAACCCTCCTAATACAATTTTAAGGTGATTACAACTCAACTTTTACTCCTCAACATCAATTATCACCACTTGAGGATCCCAAACCCAATTTGAACACTTTGCACCTATTTGGACCACTTTAATGACTCAAACAAGTCACAATTCACTTGCTGAAACTGCCCCAATAGCCCAAATACACTTTGGACATCCAAAGCTCAAAATCACTATCTCACTTCCTTTCAACAGTTTCAAAACACTAATATTTCACTATGCTTCTGCCAAAACCAGGTTACAACAACCTTCTACTTGAAATACTTCTAACATGAACCATTCTAGCAGTCAAACGCATCCAATACATTTTATTAACATCACCTCACAGATTCACAGATTCACAGATTCAACACTTCAACACATGCAATACATATCATTCCATCTACTCAAAACTTAACATGCAAACCAAGCAGCAGAAATAATATATAACCCAGTATATACACATACATGCATCTAATTATAAAGAAATAGTTCTATCTCCCCTTACCTCAAGATTGCACAGCTCAGCTCAAAGACTTGCATCAACGGTACCTTGAGTTGTGAGAACTCAACAAAACCCTACAAAACACCACATTGGTGATAGGAACAACTCTTAGAGCTAGAATGAAGTGGAAAAATGAAAAAGATGAAAGCACAAGACACATGCAACCAGAAAAGTTTGCATGTGCTAGGGCTAAAACAACGGAAAAACGTAAAAACAACTTACCGATCAGAATGAAGAAACTGATCGGTCAAAACGGAGTCCTCTGCTTCGTGGATGCTTGAGCACCACCTGATCGGAACTCAAATGGCTCAAAAAGGAGAAATGTAAGAGAGAAGACAGAGGTGTGATAGAGAGAATGCAAAGAAAAAGAAAGAACTGAGTTTTAGAAAGAGAATGGGGTTGAGTTAATGAACCACGATGTGTCTAAAATGTGCTTTTAAAAAAACAATTTCTGATTTCATTAATTTAATACCCTATTAACTTTCTAATTCATTTCAGGTTCTTACAAAAACTTTTCTGACAATAAGTTGTCGATGTGATTTGTTAATCCAAGAGCATTGTTTTTCTTTTCTTTATTAATATAGATAGCATGATTTACTATTTATATTCAGAATCAAGTATTCGAAAAAATAAATTTTTTAAACTTTTGTTTTTTTCAAATATTTTTTCCTTCTAAAAATTTACTTTTCTTTATTAAAAAATTATTTTTCAATTGATTTCTTTATCAGTATCCTCTTAATTAAATTTACACTAATTAAAAGGTATTATATGCTACTTGAATTATTTTTGTAAGAAAATGCTTCGTGGTGAAAAATTGTGGTTGATGGTGGCATGGTGGCTCTTAAAGCCTCACACTTGCACGTAAAACTACACACTGGTCCTATCAGAAAATGGTCCATCTTTTTTTTATTCTTCACTCAACCAAACAATTTGCCTTCTTTATTATTTAATACTGTTGCGGTGGAGATGCTAGCTGCTTACCGTCATAAATTTTTAAATCAAAACTTCATTCTGCATTATGTGCTGCACTTTTTTCTTTCTTAAAATGGCATGTAGTTAACCATTTTCAATTTGTAAAATTAATAAAAATATATTAAAGATAAAATCAATTTATAATATATATATAAATTTTATCTTACACTGATTAGATATTAATTTTGTAGAATTGGATTAGACTATATACGCTTGTGTCAAT